AAAACACAGATATCCACAAAATCCATGAATTACATTGGTGTTAGAGGACAAGGACAACAAGGATGCAAAAGGTTTTATGTATCACAAATGAGATTTGACCCACAATGTTGTGAAAGGTACTTTGTAACAGTGTTACCTAGCCATCTCTTTCATGATAATCTTAAAGAGAAGATGTATCAACATACCATCAATACCTAGACAGTTCTATCCATCACTATAAGGAATATTTTTCCAGGTTTCTTAGCATTTCCTATTTTGTGTTTTACCTTTGTATTTACTTTTACTCATGCTATTCTAACAGATTTTTTTTCTAATAGATTTTTTAAAATGTCTCTCTGAATGAAGCATAAATATTTTTTGAGGCAGATGAAAGAATTTTCTTCCCTTGAAGTATAGATTTCTCTCTCTTTTTTTTTTTAACCTCTTCTTGCCTTTACTCCTCATATCTCCATCTACTTCCCCAAGATTTTGACATAGTTAATGTGTGGTAAGAAAGCTATCATGGAGAAAAGATAGCCAGTCACCATGGCAGAAGTTTCTATGAAAAGATAGATTATTAAGCATGTTAGAACCAGGAGAAGCCACGGATGTGGGTAGAATTCAAGGCAGGGGAACACTGGTGTGTTTGGAATATCTATTGGCTTATTCTGTGACGGCATAGCTCTCTATGCATTTACTAGGACCATGCATATAATGCATATTATGACCTCGAATGGTCATAATATTGAAAATAGTATATGCTTCAAGAATGTGATTCCAGTACTGGGGAAAGAATTCCTCTCTTTCTGGAATTGTTCAGGAATCAGAGTTCAAAGGGAACAGAGAGAAGTGAATAAGGAAGTAACCTGAGATGATAGGATCTTTCCTTGGCTCTGGCCAGCACCCCTGGTTTATAAAGGGAACAGTGCCAGATGAGGACCCCATGGAGAACTTGGGAGAAAAGCAAGGGGAGAGTGAGTTTTGAAATCCAGTCAGAGAGCTTACATTTGATAGTCCAGGAAGTCAGGTGAAGTTCTGCACATGCAGGTAAGGTTAGACTCCACTCATGGGTCCCAAACCGTCAGAATCACCTGGGGAGCATTTAAAAAACAGACTCTTGGTAAAGACTTGATATCAAACAGATCAGAGCTGATACAAAATTGTTAGGGTTTTTTCCAAATTTGATAGCAATTCTAAAATATTTTCAGTACATAACCATTGATAAATTGGTACGATGAAATCTTTTTTTTTGAAATGTATTTTTCTAAACTAACGGTAATAAAATCAAACCGTAACAGTGTTGATAAGGGAAAATTGGAAATAAACTTTCTCTTCTTTCTGTAGGAAATGATTTACAGAGTTATTGTCATGTAAGAGGCAAAAAGTATCTAGTCGCTTTTTGGAAGAAAAGCATTATGGAGGTGAGTCAGATGATAACTAACACAAATATTAATTTTTCTTAAAAAAAAAAAAAAAGCAGACTCTTGGCTCTACCCAGGCCCCCTGAATCAGATGGGGATGGGGTGGATACAGGATGGTGTGCTTACTCTGTGCCAAGCACTGCTCTAGGAACTTTTATTATTTTGGGCACTATTATAATTGCCATTATAATGTTATTTAATTCATTCAGCCATCTTATTAGTCAGGTATTGGTCCCTTTTTACAGGTAAGGGAGCTGAAGTTCAGAGACATTCAGTAACTGGCAGCAAGTCATAAAGTTGTGATTCAAAACAGGGTCTGCTTCTAGAACCTTCTTAAACTCCTGTACTCTGCTAGATCTAGAAGTGAGGCAATGCAGATATCCTCAAACTAGAAGTTGTATTATTTTTATTTAGTATCCAGAAAAAAATCAGAAACAATTTTCTTTCTTACGATGCCATTCATTTCATACATGATCTTTTAAAAATAAACTTTCATTTTTTTAACAGTTTTTAGATTTTCAGAAAAACTATGAACATAGTACAGACAGCTCTCATATACGCGATGCCCAGTTTCTTCTATTATTAACATCTAACATTAGAATGGTATATTTATTACAATTAATGAACCAATATTGATACATTACTAACTAAAGCCCACATGTAACTTTTTTTTCCCAATTATACTAGAGCCAGCACAACTGTGTGCAAGACTCAAGGTTAGCTCTTATGGCTCAAGTGGTCTACTGAATCTTAATTTACTCATCTCTAAGAGGGAAATAATAAAAATAATTATTTCAAAGGAACATATTGGTAATATTTGAAGAGGAGCTCAAAACTCATACTCTTTCCTTTGCCTGGATCTAATAAAGGCCAAAATATTTCCATCAGGACTCCTAAGACCTACAAAGAACCAAAGAACCATATGACTTTAATCTTCAGCAAGTGGTTTATAATATAAAATTCCAGAATAAAGTAGATTTACACTACAGGACACACTAGCCCGGTAAGGTCTGGGAGCATGGAGCAATAATAAACAAGTCAGCCAGGAAACTTTCTTTCAAAGGGAAGATGCAGGAAAGGGGTGGGGCTTGGCATCCCCAGTTTCTCCATCAAAAATCTCAAACAGTTGAAGTCATTTCCTCTTCCCTGGAGAAAAGAGCCAGGTGGGGAAAGGCCAGGAGCATATTAATGCTGATAAGCCTCATTAGTAGTTTGCAGTTAAGAACTGATCTGTGTGTGAGCTCGAATGATTGTGTCTGGTACAGGGTACAAGTAAATACAAACCGCATGTGCTTCAAGTAATTCCTTCTGCAACAGATAGTCATTCTTTTTCAGCAAAGACAGTGGTGTTTTTGCTTCAGAAACAGTCCAGTTGCTAACAGTGACCAGGCACTCATGTAAGATTGAAAAAAAAATGTTTTTATGTCTTTTATGTCAAAAATGTTTTATGGCATCTCTTTATGATGACTATAGAGAAGTCAAAAGATTACACCCATTAATTGCATTCTCTCACAGTGATTTTTGGCTGATCTATACAGAGTCACCTTCCTCCAAATATAGAATCCTACATTCCATTGGTTCAGAGCATCTGTGAGTGAGGCCAAGGTTTTTATATGTTGGAAAATCTTAGGAACTCTGATGATCAAAGAGTTTGGGTCCTACTGTACACACTAAAGGGATGTTTTAACAATGAAATCTGATCTGGGGAGAAAAACGTAACTATTTTGTTCTTTAAACAAAACAGTTTTGAGTTATGAAGATGTATAAAAACATCAACTTATTTTCTAAACTTTTCTTACTTGGGAAATCTTTTCAAATAAGTAAAATATTTCTGTCTCAGCAAAACTATTATATCGCATAGTCTACCTGGCTGTACACTCTAAAGTATTAGCAGACAGGCTGCTGGAAAAGTTAAATCTTTAGGAAGTTTGTAATTTGGGATGCAAATGCTATACCTATGTTTATATCCTCACCATTTCCTGAGAAGGTGTACTCTTTGAACAGACTAAAATATAGATATTGCCTAGCCAACATTAAAAATAGGAACCTGTTTGAAATTCTCACACTCATACCACTCCCCATACTTCCTGAACCCACCCACGGCTTTCTCAAGTTTCTATCCCTGGCTGCAGAACCAACACATCGCCTTTCCTAAACATGCTTCGCTCCTGCTACATATTAAGGCAGAGACCATTGATGCTGCTCTTAACTGTATCAGCAGTAATGCTTTGTCCTTCCCATGTCATCCAAGGAGCCCTGGATTCTTTCTGAACAAGAGTTTGTTAGTTCTGTTCACACTTGCATGGGGGCACCAGGGTGGAAAGGCGGTCAGTGGCACTTATTTAACTCATTACCTCATGGGGTGCGGCTCTACTCTAGGCTGGTTTTGCTGTCCTTTGGTGAGCTTCCTTATACTGTCTGTGGTCAGCTGGCAGCTTAACTGCAGGCTGGCTGGCCTAAGACGGCCTCACCCGTATCTCCAGCTATTGGGGGCTGATAACTGGGGCCTGGCTGGTGAGGATACCTCACATTTCCTCGTGCCCTTCATCTTTCAGCAGGCCAGCTTAGATCCCTCTCCATGGTGATCTCAGAGGTCTAACCACAGGAAAAGACAACCAGGCCTAAGGAGCAAGTCTCTGCTTGCTCCATATTTGCTAGTCTCATTGCTAAGTCAAGTCACATGGCCAAGCCCAGGTTCAAGGCGTCATGAAATGGAACCTACCTCTTGATGGAAGAAACTGAATTCACATTGTAAAGGGGTGTGGCTACAGAGATGGGAAAATTGTGGCCCTCTCTGCAGTCCAGCACAAGCGCCTAGTCTGTAAAAAGCTTAATATTTTAAAAATACAGATGAGGCATCTGCCACAGTTAAATGACTGTGGTTGATATTTCATTTTAGCCTTTTGTGCTGGTAGAGTTGCGAGTTGGGCAAGTCTGGCAAAAAAAAAATCTCACTGGGCAACACAAATCCCTACTTTTCTGTCACCATTTTAGCTTTCTTTTTCTTTTTCTTTCTTTTTTAAGATTTTATTTATTTATTTGACAGAGAGAGACCCAGTGAGAGAGGGAACACAAGCAGGGGGAGTGGGAGAGGGAGAAGCAGGCTTCCTGCAGAGCGTTTAGCCTTCCAATTTTTAGCCTTCCAATTACCCGTGGAGTTAGTGGCCACACAGAGCAGCTGCAGTTGAACAGAAGTGTGGTGAGATGGTGTGTGTGGTGAGGAAAGCCAACCCATGCTCTGTCAGAATCCACTTTTTAAGGTAGTCAGGTGGGGTGCCTGGGTGGCTCAGTGGGTTGAGCCTCTGCCTTTGGCTCGGGTCATGATCCCAGGGTCCTGAGACCGAGCCCCGTATCGGGCTCTCTGCTGGGCAGGCAGCCTGCTTCCCCCTCTCTCTCTGCTTGCCTCTATGCCTACTTGTGATCTCTGTCTGTTAAATAAATAAAATTTTTTTAAAAAATTAAAAAAAAAATAAGGTAGTCAGGTGAGCTTTTCACACCTTCCATGAGGCCTCCATGGATGAACAGGTGACAGAAACAGAAGGAAACAGTAATAACATTATTGTCTAATGAGAGACAACAGATGTGGCTCACTGGGCAAAAAAACATGTATACATGATTTAGTGAGGCGGCACACTTGGTGACCATAAAAAGGGCATTTAGTCATGACTCAGTCCCTGGATGAGAGACAGACAGTGAGACAAGAACTGCAGGAACTATTGCAAAGTAGGCTCTTTTTCCACGTGATATCTGAGAACCTTCTGTCTGAGGAAGATGGCAATTCTCTTAGCCTGGACAACCAGGACTTGCCCCACTTTTTTAGGTTCCTTGTTGATAATGAGGGAAAATCAGATTGTACTAGGGATCTTCTCCTATCTGCATCCCCATCTCACCCACAAACAGGTTCTGCAGACTATGGCTCTTGGGTAATAGGCCCTCTTCTCCCAAGTGGCCAGCTCACAAAGTTCTCTCTCACCAGAAGCCACAGAAGTGAAAACAGACATTAGCTGCCAGCCGTCAAGACTCTTGGTCAAGGCCCCCAGATCAGCACTGACGAAATACTTCCGTCCTAAAATGCAACAAGATTTGGCTTCGCTTGGTGTCTTCTGAGACAAAGCAAGGTTTACATGATAGGCAAATAATGGTGCTGCCTGAATTTTCCATATTGCCTGTTTTCCTCTAGTTTCAGAAAAGCCGAGTAGGGAGAAAATTAACATTAAAATATAGTATTGGAACCTCTGAAGCTAATAATACATCATATGCTAATTCATTAAATTTAAATAAAGTTAAATTTTAAAAATAAAATACAGTATTGGAAGGGAATTTATAGTTATGTAGATCAATTTCCTAGGCTTAGAAAAGGTCCTTGCGAGCCATTGATCTGTAGGGGAAGAGCGTTAAGCACCAGCAGACCCCTTGGCCCCTCTTCCACCAGAGCACTCTGCTCTTTCTTATCTGTTTTGTACACTGGGATTTGCAAAATATTTCTTTTGATAACAGGCTGTTGATGCTGAGACTTCATTTTGTGGGTGAGGAACTGGAAGCCCAGGGATGTGGGGTGACTTGCTCAAGGTCACAGCAGTTGTCAGGTACAGAGCTCAGGACAGAAATGAAGTCCGAATTTCGGGTCCACGGTTCTTTGTTCTATCACCTGGCCATGTTCCACTTCTCCTTATCCAAGTTGCCAAACTTCCTTTGGATAGATGCTCACTCACGAGCCTCTATAAATACTGTCCAAATGTTTGACATCGATTGGGAGATGAAAACTGTGATTTCTCATTTGAACAACTGCTACAATAGGATCCGAGTTCTGGCTCTGAGTTCTTACCCTGTCTTTCATGAGCTGGTGGACTTAATCTTCCTCTCCTACAGCTTCCTCACTGTGAAATAGAGACAAGGACACTCAACAACTGAGCTACTTGTTCAGCTTTTTGTAAGCAGGCAGTTAATTAACATAGGAAGTTGTTGATTTTTGGTTTATTGCTTTGATTGAACAAAAAGCATTTAAAATTCGTAAAGGCCTCCATTAAAATGTGTCGTCTCTTCGCACTTGAGGAAAAACTGGAGATAATAATCAAAACAATCACCATTTATATGGTACATAGCTTGAGTTCATTAAAGTATGATCAAAGGATCCGTGTTCTGTCTGAAAACCATGCAGTCAGAAGCACAACGAGAACTGCTAGGAATGAGCCTCAAGAAGTCACTGAACCGTTCAGAATCTAACAAAGCCTGGAGTACGAAAGGAGGGCTATAGAAGGATCACCGGGGCTGTCTTAAATGGTAAACAACACAAGCACCAAAAATTTCAGTTGGTCTTGAAATTCTCTGCTTCCCACTTAGGAGCCGCTTCTCAATGTGGCAGCTCTCCCACTGCCTAATTAAAATGCCTTCGCAGAATGGCTTCAAATCTGAAAAGTATGAATTGTTGCCAAATGGGCCCCTTTCTTTGCTGGGCCTGTAGATAATTTGTCTCCAGCTAACAAGAACTGGCACTAAAAGCCAAAAGTGGGGCATCAAAAGGCTTTAGACACTGGGTGAGGACTGCTCTGTGTTACTCAAATGCGGAATGATCACTGTGGTGTGAGATCAGATTATTCTACCCATAAATTGGGCAGAGCTACATTACAAAGTAGACAAAATGGTATCCAGAGGAACACTACTCTAGTGTGTGCAATGGTTCCTAGTTTCTTTCACTATTATGTAACATATCCAGATTATGTCATCTTATGTCTCCATTTGTAGATCAAGAGTGAAAAATGACCATGGGGTAATGGATTGGTACTGGGAGATCTGTGTTTGGGTTCTGGCCTGTTCTTGAGAATCTCTGCTGGATTAAATTTGGGCCTCTGCTTCCTCATCTGTGAAATGAATGGTGGAGTATGAAGTGAGTTTGGGATTTCTAAACTTTTCTAGGTCTAACAGATTCTTTGTTATGGGTATAGGTAATAAGACCAAAACTTTCTTTCTTTCTTTAGGTTATTTAAATTGCCCTATATATCAAATCCCAATGGATTTTAAAATTATATGGATTCTGGGGCACCTGGCTAGCTCAATCAGTACAGCATACAACTCTTGATCTCGGGGTTGTAAATTTAAGCCCTATGTGGGGTGTAGAGATTACTTGAAAATAAAATCTTAAAAAAAATTATATTGATTCTGTGGTCTTTTACCCTTCAATTAACATGTAAAGGAAGTTTAATGTTTAATCACTTCCTGGGCTAGTGATTTAGTGCAGACAAAACTGTTGCAAGAAAAAAGAGATCTGACTATTGTGGTTTAAAAACACAAAGGTTACTTCTATGACATAAAAGAACTTGGGAGGCAGGAAATCTATAGCAGGTACTGTGACTTTATGGAGAAACTTTATGAAGTTCTGTTTTGTGGGACTGCTAACCTCAAGGTTACCTCCTAATTCATTATGACTGCTAGGATGCCAACCATTACATCTATGTTCTGGGAGCAAGAGGAAATAGACAAATCACAGCTTATCTTCTGACTAGGAAATGTTGTCCTTTGGCTGGGCACTTTGCCACCCCAAATGAAATTGGGGTCCTGTTACTAAGAAGTGAGAGGACCAACCAGCAGTTTCTGTCATAGGCAGTTATCTCAGCTGGATTCCTTGGGTAAAGATCACTTTCTCAGTCCAGCACTACTTTCTCCCAAATACTGGGTGAGGGCTGGTGGAGAAACAAACCTCTCTTTTCCAACACCTTAAAATTAGGAGGAAAACCTGGGCAAGAAGGCATGATCCTGACCGAGGACGTGGGGAACCATTTTCACAGGTGAAAAACAGCAAAATTATTCTATTGCAGATGCCACCTGGGGAAATGGGTATTTTTGAATGATTATAATAAAAGTGTTTTCCAGTTTTGTCTAGGAAATAACTAATTTCCATCTACCAAAAAAATACCTCAACAATTGTTTAACTCTGTTCTTGCTATGGGTAAGTTCCACAGTGACAGGGACTAGAAGGGAAACATACAAAGCTTTTCCTTTATTTTTTTTTTAAGATTTTATTTATTTATTTGACAGATAGAGATCACAGGTAGGCAGAGAGGCAGGCAGAGAGAGAGAGGAGGAAGCAGGCTCCCTGCCGAGCAGAGAGCCCGATGTGGGGCTTGATCCCAGGACCCCGAGATCATGACCTGAGCCGAAGGCAGAGGTTTTAACCCACTGAGCCACCCAGGCGCCCCACTTTTCCTTTATTTTTAAAATAATGGCTCATCCTCGAGCTTGGATTAGGTAAAATAGTCACTCAGGCCAAAGGACCTCACTTCCTGAAGCTATATGTTTTATCTTTGCTGCTTAGAACCCACAGCCTAGATTTTTCACTGTGATTTTATTTATTTTATTTTGTATTAATAATCTTAGTTTATTCAAAGTTTATTAATAATCTTTAAATTAAAATTTAATTAATTTAATAAATTAAATAATTAATTGATTGATAAATTATAACAATAAAATATAATAATTATATGATATAATATATAATAAAATACAATAATTATATAAATATATATTTATGTATTGATATATATAAATATATAAAATATAAATTATAATAATTAAATAATAAAAAATTAAATAATTAAAATTTAAATTAATTAAATAAATTAAATTAAATTAAATTAAAAATCAAAGTTTATTAATAATCTTAGTTTATTCAAAGCTAACTGATAAAGGCAGTGTGATCCAGAAGGGTAAGGAGTATGAATTATGATATGACATTGGGCTGGAATCATAGTAGCAAAGTTATATTCCCCAGGTAAACCTTTTACCTCTCTTAGCCTTAGTGTTCTTATCTGTAAAGTGGGTCATGATGCTGGTTTGAGGATTAAATGATGATAGTAAAGACAAGGACTGAAAATACCTACTTTGTCAGAGCACATACTGTGTGCCACGTGAACATGGATTCTCATTTCCTTTCCACACAGCCTTAGGAGGGGGACATGAGGAAACTGAGGTCCACAGAGGTTAAGGAGCCCATCCAAGTTCACACGGCCAGCAAGTGGTAATCCCAGAATCATAACCAGCCCCGTGCTGCCCCCATAGCACATCTGAGCACTCCGAGTCTACACCTGGCACAGAGCAACTGCGCAAGATTAATTCCCATCCATTTTCTTTTCCAAGGCCTTTTGTCTGATCACTCAGCCATTTCTGCTCCTGTCGGAACCAGTGAAAGCAACAGAGTGTTGTGCCGTTCAATTTGTAGCACTCTGTGCAGTCAGGAATGTAGTATGTTTCATTCTGCGACTTCCTCTCCAGAAATGAAATCTGAAGGCAGAGACTGCCGGTTGCCCCACAGTACCTTGAGGTCACCTTTGTATTCACAGCCGCCAGTGGTCAGTTAGGGGAAGCGGTCACCAGCTGGACATGGCCACTGCCTATACTGCTAAATTCACACCCTCCCCCCAGCCAATCACAAGCTGTGCATCTGAATGCACACCTTGCCTCTGCTTTTCTGGTGTAATTTAAAAGTGAGAAGAAAGAGCGAATGTCCTCTGAATCTTCCCTCCTGGCTTGGTGTTGCCCAGAGAGCAAACTGCCTTTACTTATTTAGATATGTTGCTGTGGGACCATGGGAAGTGGCAGAAGAACCTCTCTCTCTCTCTCTGTCCCTTCTCTTTGGAAATCGATAAAAAATGTCTGTTCCATTAGCATGAAGAGCATTTATGCATTTTTAAGTGTTTCTTTGGCAAACTGGGAAGCTGCTCTACAACAGGCCACAGATGCTCTGTCTGCAGCTATTCATAATAATAATAATAATAGGCATCCTATAATATCGATATACCCAAATGTAATATCATCTCCTTGAAAACTCATTTCATGTGAGGATGCTGATGTTGGTACCAAGTTATTCTATAATTCTAGGGAAAGAGATTTTGAGAATCCTCTGTACTTGGCATAACACCTGTTATATTCATGCTTGGATTTTCCTCAACTTAAATAATTTAAAGTTCAAGAATATTCTACAAAGACTGGTTTCATTCCAGCTGATTACTTCAGGGCTTCCAGTATAAATGCTAATGCAGAAACACTTATTTTTGTTATGAGCTATAAATATGCTATAAAACATTTTTTTTTAGAAAACAATTTAAAAATTTAGGACTTCTATTATATATTTCCACAGGTCTGATGCTAGGAACCATGCTTGACATCTGTTACAACTATATCTACAAACACAATATATGGAATGAGTACGAAGTCACAAGTGTTGGGGGGCTTCAATTCCTTTCCAGTTTCCTGTTCCTTCATTCTTCCCCAATGATGCCAAACTCGTTCTGGTCCATAAACATGTCATTGTTTTCCATGCCTTACCCATGTAACTCCTTTGTCTACCATGACCCTCCTGTCCTTTATCCCCCTTCTCCCACTATGCTTCACAAATTCCTTCTCCTTCCTGACCCCCCCAGATCAAATGTCATCAGGAAGCCTTTCCTGATCTTCCCATACTCCTTCCTTGAAGGTTAATATCTATTTATTTCTTGTAACTCTCCAACTTCCAAATACAGTTATATTTATAGTTATATCTATATTTCAAAATATAGTTAACACTAGGGGCGCCTGGGTGGCTCAGTGGGTTAAGCCGCTGCCTTCGGCTCAGGTCATGATCTCAGGGTCCTGGGATGGAGCACCGCATGGGGCTCTCTGCTCAGCAGGGAGCCTGCTTCCTCCTCTCTCTGCCTGCTTCTCTGCCTGCTTGTGATCTCTCTGTCAAATAAATAAATAAAATCTTAAAAAAAAAAAATATATATATATATAGTTAACACTAAACTGTCTTACCCAACAGTCCTGGAAGGCACACAGAGGGTTTGAATGAAATCCACACTTCTTGCAATAAGGAAGAAGAGATGACTTATTTCTTGCAACAAGGAAGAGCTCACTATCAGCAGTTTGATCCAATGCCTTAAGGGTCTTCTGGGTTCTGTTTCTCCTTCAGTGGCAAAATGAATACAGACTCCTTAAAAAGGATCTGGAAAGGGCTGGAAGACAGGGGTGAAAAAAATTACCCTTGATCCAATTATCCAGTGATAACCTTTACTGATGTTTAGTGTACATCTTACATTTTGTTTTGAGTGTGTATGTCTGTATACGTTTTGTTTTTCTCCATTCCTGAGCTCAAAGGACAACCACTTACCCCAACCAAAGTCATTGGCCCTCGCCTTTTCTTATTAAAGTTTTATTGTAGTGTAGCATATATACAGGAAAGTTCATACATGAATCAAGTGTACAGCTTGATGAGTTGGAGGTTTGGTGGGGGGTGGTTTTTTTTTGTGTTTTGTTTTGTTTTGTTTTTGTTCGTTTGTTTTGCCCCCAGCATGGGGCTTGAACTCACAACCCAAGATCAAGCATTGCAACTGAGTCAGCTAGGTACCCAAGCTTGTTGAGTTTTTACAAAATAAACACACCCATGCAACCAGCACCTGAGACAAAAAACAGTATCTTACCAATGCCCTAGAAGCTGCTTCTAGTTAATACTCTTCCCCCAAAGGCAACCATTATGTATATTTTTCACAATAGATTATGTCTTGCCTGTTTTGGAAGTTTATGTAAATGTAATCATCCAGTATGTGCTTTTTTGTGTGCTGGGCTTCTTTCAGTCAGTAGTAAACTTATGAGATTCACCCATGTTGCTCCAGGTAGTTGTAAAGAGCTCATTCTCAGGTAGCATTAAATTTTATGAATAAGCCATAATTTGTTAATCCATTGTACTATTGATAGGCATTTGGGTTATTTCCAGCTTTTGGCTATTACAGATGGTGTTGTTGTGAATATTATTGAGCAGGTTTTTGGTGCATATATGTATGCATTTTTGTTGGGTTTTTACCTACAAGCAGAATTGCTAAGTTATAGAGTATGTGTATGTTCAACTTTTGGTACATTTTGCCAAATTACTCTTCCAGGTTTAATCACAGGTGCCAGTTTATTGATGATCACCAAACTTGGAATTAGTATGTTGAATAGACTCTACAGTAATAGTCATGGCCCAGCTTAGACTCATGAAGAATTTAAAAACTTTCATTATTTTTACTGTATTAAGATACACAAGTATAGCATTTTCACATATTCTGACATCTTACTTAAAACAAAACAAATTGAACTTTCCAAGAGAAGAAATCAGTCAATATCATTACAACCTTAAAAAGATGGGTGGTATATAACTCAAGAGCTTTTTATTATACTCTCATACCATTTGATTTTTGTATGCTGATGTTATCTCTTCTTTCTATATCTATAGGTGAAGCCTAAAGGGGTAAAATGTTAGGTATCAACACTGGGGGCCCTGAAACCCCATGCCCTACTCAGAAGAGTGTGAAAAACATCCTTTATGAGCTTTAGGATCTCTGTTCTTTGGCTCATCTTAGAGCACTGACCTACTTTGAAATTATGTCAAATGATATACCAATGAAAATAAAGTTTACTGTAAATAATAAAAAATAATAATAACCACAATTCTAAAGCCATCTCAGTCTTCTAGAAATGAACTTTTGTTCTAGGCCTACTCTGCTCAAATTGACTTAGACTGGTTTTAGACTTACAGCAACTTTAAGTGGTTATGGGCTTCCCTATGATTTGTTCTCTAAAAGTATGCATCTAATCCATACCCTAAAACACTAAATGTCTACTTCCCTGTTAAAATAAAATTCTGACAAATTAAAATTGTAGATTTTTGTAATGATCAATCTGATTTTAGGTTGAGTAAGAAATGGAGGGTATCTAATGGAGTAGATCATGTTGGTGGGTTAATTTTTCATGTATAAATGGGCCCAGAATACAAGGATTAACTAACTTCTCTCATGGAAAGTGCTCTAGGGCCTTTGCTTTTAGAACCCAAGTCCTACCATAACATTTGGACTGTCTCATCCAATGGATATACCATACTAGCATAGACTCAAACATGGGAAGTAAGAGTAATTCCTATTTGCTTAAACTGGGATTAAAACTCAATTCTTTAAAAATAAAATGTAAGGGGGCGCCTGGGTGGCTCAGTGGGTTAAAGCCTCTGCCTTCGGCTTAGGTCATGATCCCAGGGTCCTGGGATCGAGCCCCATGTCCGGCTCTCTGCTCAGCAGGGAGCCTGCTTCCCTTCCTCTCTCTGCTGCCTCTCTGCCTACCTGTGATCTCTGTCTGTCAAATAAATAAATATAATCTTTAAAAATAAAATAAAATAAAATGTAGGGGCGCCTGGGTGACTCAGTGGGTTAAAGCCTCTGCCTTTCGGCTCAGGTCGTGATCCCAGGGTCCTGGGATCGAGCCCCACATCGGGCTCTCTGCTCGGTGGGGAGTCTGCTTCCTCCTCTCTCTCTGCCTGCCTCTCTGCCTACTTGTGATTTCTGTCTGTCAAATAAATAAATAAAATTTTTAAAAATAAATAAATAAATAAAATAAAAATAAAATGTAGGACTAACCCAACCAATTATTTTCAGTATGAGACAGGGCTTGGCCTCCTGGAAAGATTTCTAGATTGTATTGAATATATTTTTCTGTGCCAGAAACTATAGATCTATGGATTTGATGAATCAGATCTATTTCTAAAAGGCAAGGAGATATCCAATAGTAAAAATAGCTAACTTTTATTAACCACCTCTCATATATGCCAGACACTCGTATATATACACATCAGCTGCTTTGTATAAATATATTATACAGTCCTTAGAAGAACCCTTAAGGGGTAGACCTTATCCCCATTTTAAAGTTGAGGAAATTCAGTTGGTTTTACAGTTCCAGATCACTGGTGTTGGAATGGGGCTAGGTGATGAGCTAGTCAAAGGAGGATTTTCAAAGGAAGGTTCTTAAGAATCACCAGACAGTGAGAACCTGAGGGTCTACATCATAAGAGTGCTTCTCTTCTTGAACCTGAGGGGGAAGGGATTTAGACTCTCCAATGAGTGTGGAGTGGAGCAGATCACACTGAGAAAAAGAGAATAGAAGCCTACAATGGAACCCAATGTTAGATTTGAGGAGAGAGGATGGGGTGTGATTGTATGGTCAGCATGGCCTTCAGGGATCCTGCTCCCTCAGAATGCCAGCTAACTCTCCCCTGGAGTGATGGACAAAAGATCCTACTAACTCAGCCTAAATCCCTGGTGCAAGGACTTTTCTTAGAATGCTGAAGAGACCCACGTCCTAGGAGCAGATAGTGAGGGGGTTTTCTATTACCTCCTAGAAATCCATTCCTCTAAGAAGGCCTCAATGACCAGGTACAGGATTTAAAATTTAAACTAATTCCGAAGCAAAGAAATGAGTCTTCTTCTCTTAGTTAAAACTCTGTTTGTGAGACTGCCCTCAGCTCAGACTCTCTAGCTTCTACTAGCCCTCAGGACAAGGAAGAAAGTTGAGACTAGATAGAACCGAGGAAGATACTCCTCTCAACTTGGCAAGAAGGAAAGGGAAACATCCTTGGTAGAATGATGAATGCAAGCTTGTTTTAGGTGATACAAAAGCACTGGCTGTGGATTCCCCACTTTGGAACATCCTACCAGCATTTTCTATGAACACCTCACCAGGATCAGACCTGGAGAGCATCTACCTCTAGAATCCCCTTCAGGGTTGAAACTTCTGGGGATGGAGCTGGCATAGTTCCCCCTAAATTCCACACCTAAGGGCTAGATAGATGGTGAGGGATTAATAAACAACACTGTTCCTGTAAATCAAATATTCCAGCTACCAAACGAGGCTTATTCCCCTAATAGAATTAACTGAATTCACCAAATCTTCTGTAATAGGGTTCTGGGGAGAACCATCCCTAACAAAGCTGAGGCTGATGCAGGGAAAACTGGTAGGGAAGAGACAGCTATCCTCTCGTGTTCATAAAGCAAACTCTCTCTGCTCTTTCTATTCCTCTGACTTTCAATTTTTTAGCTGCTCTAAATACAAGTGGAAAGTGGAAATGGGATAAAGGGCACTGAGGGAAGCAGTGGGTTGAAGGAGAGAGGAAGGAAAGAAAGAAGGAAGTGAGAACAAATGGAGTAAAGTTCCAAAAAGAAAGATAGGTTCCATGGTCAAATGATGCTTTAATCTATTAAAAATAAGCAAATTAACAAATTAAAAATAGATTATGAGAGAAACAACACCTATTTTAAAATTATATTTGAAATGGGATATAGAAAAAACTGAAAGCAGTGAGACAAATAGGAGTTAAGACTAGAGCCAAATATCCCAAATTAAGATTAACTAATAAAAATACAATAAAAATAATTTTTGAAAAGACTGAGGGCGAGTGAAATAGAGATGAAAGCTTTGGAATGGAAAGCTACAAAATTAAGATGGGGCTAAAGCCCAAATCATAAAAAGAAAAAAAAGTAAGGTAAATGTAATTTAAGAAGTAGAAGAAAGCAAAAAGAAAATGGGAGGGAGGGTACTCATAAAAGCAAAAACTCAAAACAACAGTAACCTGACAGGACAGGCCAGTCAAGGGAGAGTAGAAATGAGGAAGTTCCTTGGACAGCCAAGCTTTCCTCATAGAAGAATTCTTTTAAGGCCCATCCCTGGTGGAAGGATTTTTAGTTTGATCACATACTCATATTCACCTATGCCTACCTCCATTCATTCATTCCACAAGCATCTTTTGTGCTACGACCTGGGAATTCAATGGTGCAAGTCAGAGAAGAACTTTTGCCCCCATGAAGCTTACAGTCTAGTGGCAGCGGATTATGGTGGGAGAGAACATGGATGTTAACCAAATGATTACACAGACAAATCAATAATTAGGGTTATGAAGAAAAAGCCCAGGGTGCTATGGGGAATATATGAGCTAGTGACTGATTGTTGGGGTGGGGGATGTGGAGTGGGTATGTAGGTAGGTAGACATCAGGGAAGTTTTTCTGCCAACATATTTGTCCTGAGATCCAAGGTTGTATTAGGAACTAACTGAGGCAGATTAGGGTGTAGGCGGACAATATAAGTAAAGGTCCTGAAACAGGA